TCATGATTGCAGAGCTTGGATTGCAACCTGACTGAGGACTGTCTGATCTGAGGGTCTTATACCGTGCACTGCTACTTTCCCGCCTTCCGCGTACTTATACGGATTCACAAGGCAATGTTAAAGCAAAGGGCGCCTGATCTGAAAGCAAACACACAAGTGTACGTGGATTTGCGGCCTCATTTTTATAGGGCGTTAGCCTCTGCCCTCTCTCCGAGAACTGCTGTCAGGATAAGAGAAACGTGGACTAGGAACAGCATTTGGAAGTGGGGCTTCCTGTCCACAGAAATAAAACGGGCCTTTGATGTCCTCTTAATTCAGAGCCTTTCTCTAGAACAGCAGCCTCTCAACTTGTGGGGTGGTGACCCCTTGGGGGTCGAATGACCCTTTCGCAAGGGTTGCATATCAGAGATCCCGAGCATCACATATTTCCATTATGATCCATAACAGTAGAAAATTAAAGTTAGATAGTAGCAATGAAAATAATTGCATGCTTGCGGGATACTACAACATGAGGAACTGTACTAAAGGGCCGTGTCGCAGCACTAGGAAGGTTGAGAAGCACTGTTGTAAAGTGTGCCACAAATGTGCCTGCAGATTGTAGACCCAGCGGTCACTGGGGCCGCAGCCTCCCCTCCCCACAGGACATGCGTCCTCACAGGCCAGGCCGATCTGTATTGTATAGACCGAAGACAAAACTCCCCTGCAGTCATGGCCAATGGGTCCCGGGCCTGCCTCAAGTCACCTTGACACCATCAAAATTTAGTTTAACAGGTCTCTCTGTTCATGGTGACTAACACAGGAGAAAGCTGCACACTGGGCCTCCGCCTTGATCTAATCTGAGTCCAAAGCCAGGGCTCCAGACCCCTTCCTGACTCCCTCCCACAGCTCTGTGGTTAGCAATGGACCAGTCCCGAGTGTGGAACTAAGGGCTAATTCAAGTGCAGAAACAAAACTCAGTGTCAAGCTCCCTGACCACACATTTCCATTTTTCCTTTTCCCAAACCCCAGGGTTGTCTCACTGCCAGGGAACCACAGCCAGACTTATAGGCTAGGACGACTCTCAGAGGGGGTCGGAGTGTTGTTGTTGATTGGTGATCTTGGGTCTCTTTACTGGTTTGCTTTCAAACAGTGTGGCGTCTTGGGTTGGGCAAAGCTGTGGTATTCTAGATGTAGATAGAGCACATTGCCAAGATAAAGGTGCTGTTGCCTAGTGATAGACAGACAGACGGATGGATGGAAGGAAGGAAGGGTAAAGAAAGTGGGTGGCAGTTTAGTTGCACAGTGTGGTGATGAACGTGTTGAGGGCGCAGAAGTGTGTTTGTTTCCCCATTGTGGGTTGGGTGATGTCAAGCCAGCTCATCACCACCCTGGGCCATGAGTTCCTCCTCTCCAAATAAGTGAGAACACACAGCACTGTCCCGGCAGTGGGAAACTGCAGAGTTTGACCCAGGGTCAATAAGGCGATGGCCCGGTAGAAACAGAATGCTTGGGGAAATGGCCCAACTGTCCTTACAGGGGTCACCTTCGGCCAGTCATGTCATAATCTGCCTTAGACTCCTCTGCAGAAAGACAGGGCTAGACCAGTCCACATGCTTGCTTCCTGCCCTGGAATCCTGTACAGCCACCCTCCACATACATCAAATTGTACAACTCAGAAGTTCACGCCCTGCCGTAACAAGCAGAGAACAACAGGCTGCTGGTATGAGGGGTGTGGTATGTTGCCACAAGGCAATTCTTTCACTTAAAACCTCTTTTCACCTCTCACAAAACTAATCTCTAATACTGTCCCCCGCCCCCAAAGATGATGTTATAACTGCAAACACATTCAGGCCCCTACTTCCTGCTGGTGGCATTTAGGCTGAAGTGGTTGGGGGGGGGAGGTGTGGAGGGCGAATCTTGTCCCAGACCAGTGCTTTTGATTGCTTACAGACTCTGAGCCTGCTGTGAAGGGTAGGAGAATTCGCATTTTGGCCCTAAGAGACCTGCCTTGTTATCCCTGCCTTAGCTGCCAAGCCCAGGTGTCCAGGGCCTTCCCAAGCCTCCGGGCCTTTAATAGAATCCCACATTTATTTCCCTCTCAGTTTTGTGCCAAGGCCAGAGGCCCAGTGTCTCAGGGTCAGTGCAGTTCACCTGCCAGGAATCTTCAGCTTTTCCCTTTCCATTCCCGCTCTTCCTAAGCCAGGAGAGGGGATCTCGGTTCTACCCGAGTGGAGGGGTGTTATGTCAGATTGGAGATAGTTCCAGAAACACAGCAGTGCTCAGGGCATGAAGGGCATTGTATTCTGTCAAGCCACTGCAGTAATGGCCACATGGCAGGGCACTGGCCTTAACATCTGTAAGGGAGACTTGCTGGCCGCCTTTGAAGCTGAAGGCTTGGTAATTGCTGCTTTGATTGCAAGGGAAGGCTTCGGTGGGTGGAGCCCTGTCCTTTGCCAGCAAGCCGCCCGGCCCCACTGCAGACTGTGGCAAGTCTCCCATCTCTGGAACTTAGTGCCAGTGGTTTCTTCTAAAGAACCTTGAATTAACACACACACACACACACACACACACACACACGAGAGAGAGAGAGAGAGAGAGAGAGAGAGAGAGAGAGAGAGAGAGAAGACACCACACTGAAGACCCCATTTCTCCCATGGGATGTAAGAAGAGCTGGTCTACCCTGGTGTCTGGGTATTTTAACAGGGTGGCCAAGGATAGTCAAGGAGCCTCCTTGCCACTTTGAATGACAGTTCCCCAATCGGGATGCAACTTGGGTGGTAGGCTACCATGCAGGGGACCTCTGAAGATGGCCAACTTGTCAGGGGGTGTTGCAAGGCAACAGAATGTGAGATAAAGGCAGCCAAACCCTGAGTGCGTGGCAAAGAATGGCTGTGAGGAGACAGGGAGAGTGTGTCCAGGTAAGTTATGTCTTGTCCGTGAGAAAAATGATGCTCTCGCCAGCCATGCTTGTCTTGACTGTTAATTATTGCTGAGCCCAACTCAAGAAGGGAGGGACAGGGTGGGTTGTAGGCAGGCGTGCAGAAGAAGGGGAATATTGGTCACAGCTAGGTCACAGGGGATGTGTTCATTGCATGGTTTAGAGTTCCCTGCACCTGGAGTTGGGGACAGACCCCAGCAGAGAGATAACAGAGACATTCCCAGCTCCCTTAGGCCAGTCAGGTCTAAATCCCAGCAGCCTGGCATGGACCAGCAGCATAGGACTTCAAGGCTATATATCCTTAAGAAACAGTATTTTCATCCAGGTGGTGGTGGTACACTCCTTTAATCCCAGCACTTGCGAGGCAGGCCTATCTCTATGAGTTCAAGGACGACTTTGTCTACAAATCAAGTTCCAGGACAGCTAGGACTGTTACATGTAGAAACCCTGTCTTGGAAAAAAGAAAAGGAAGGAAGGAAGGAAAAATATTTTCCTGTCACAGACTGAGGGGAAACTGACCAGGAATAACAGCCTTTGGACAGCCTTCATGCAGAAGCACAAAGTAAACAGAGGACGTGCAGGGCCCGTGTCCTTCCCAGACTTCTTCAGTCTGTTCCTCTCTCATTAGAGAGGTCTTGCCTTCCCTAGCTCTTTGACCCTCCTTGTGAAGGCCCGATGTGTTGCTTGGTTGGGAACAAGGATTGTAACTGAACAGGTTGTTGTTCTGCTAACTTGGGAAAGGTTAGCTTTGCAGAGTAAGGATTTTAAATCTTTGGAGACTTACAGTTATCCTGTTGCCATGCTTCCTTCCCATTTTCTTGCTTTGTTTTATTTCTCAGTAAACAGTTGCTTCACAGTTTAGATCAGGTATTTGTAGAGACAGCTGTGGTGGGAGCAACCGTCCTCCACACACAGGTGTGCCATCCTCCACGCACGGCCCGCCGTCCTCCCGCACGGCCCTGCGGTCCTCCATGCACAGAAGGCCGCGCCCTCTGCCTCCGCACAGCTTGTGGGCAGGTGCCCTCTTCTTCTCTGAACTGCAGTCCTGTGGAAAGCACTTGGCCACCCAGCCTGCTCGTACACCTCAGATGGTTCCAGCTTTGTCCGACTACTCAGACTCCTTCCTTCCTTTCCTCTTCGTTGGGAGTGTGAAGGAGCCCACCCCACAGAATTAACCTTTTGGGGGGGGGACAGTCTACTTGTAAGGGGGATATACCAATCAGAAGCACAGAGGCCTGGGCTCGTCTGAGGCTGTCCGGGCTCCAGATGGGACACAGGGCTCCTGCACCTCTATCTCATGTTCAAAGCTATGGGGACTAGTGAAGGGCTGAAGGGACAGGACCTTGCCTCTGCTCGCCTCTGTCTCCTTTTGTTACAGTGTTTCTTTTTAACCTTTAGTGGCGTTGTAAAATCTCAGGTCATTAAAACTTTGGGGACTAAGGGCTTCTTTGCTTTTGAAAAAAAAAAAAGTTATTTTCAGTTTCCTGCAGAGTATTCATTTTAGGTTAACATTGAATGTCTTCATGACTGTGGAGGGAATCATCTTGAGGACTTAAGGGTAAATGGAGATGTATCCACTGTATCCTGGGTATATTGGGCTTGTCCTATAGGAGTTAGCGGCATGCTGGCTGTTTGGAATGTTCTAGTACTGTGTAGAATCCTGCAGTGGCTCCTAGAGTGAACTAAAACCAGCTAATACTTCAGCATGACAGGCCATCCCCTGGCCTGGCTCTTGCTCACCTCTTCGATTCATGTCTAGCCTATCCCGCCTATGGATGTTGTTTTCAATCATGGTTTTTTGTCTGTTTAACCAAGGCCCAACACTTTATAAATACTTGCCATGGCATAGGTCTGCACATGCATATACAGAGCCAAGTAAAAATTCAGCTTTATACACCTACCCTGGGATGTATTTGAGGTTCTTTTGGCTAGTATCCGGCAATCCGTTTTAGCCAACATGAACTTGAGAAAATGGATCATTTAGATGACTAGGTCAGACATTGCTGCCTGTAATAGAAGGTACAGTCTTTAGAGGCCCAATGGCCAGTTCATATTAATAGCATTTCCTTTGTTCCTTCTTGAGGTGGCAAAAGAAGCTCATTCCCAACGTGCAAAGCCAAGGCGGCGACCCCAGGCCCTCTTCTGGAGATGGAAGCTTGTTGAAAACCCAGACTGCCTCCACAGCTTGCCCGGCTGACCCCCAAGGAGCTCTGACAGCCTCTTTACCCCGAGGTCACTGCTAGAGATGCTGACCCACAGAGACAGTCACTGCCGGCCCTTCCTCCCGTCTCCTGCAAGCGCCAACTTCCAAAAGCAAGTCAAAAACCGGTTGTTTCTGAAAAAGAAAAAAAAAGAAAAAGAAAAAAAAAAAAAAAAAGAAAGAAAAAAAAAAAAAAAAAGCCCAAGAGAATGCTAGCAGGCCCTGCCCACTGAGTGGCATTGCTTCTGGTCTCTGTGCACACTTCCCTTCTGTGCAGACCTGTCACCCTTCTCAAGGATAGTACCTTGTCACCGCAACCCGACCCAGCGACCAGAGCAGGCATCAGCATCCTGGCGAGAGAATTGTGGAGGACTCCTCCCGTTTTTGTCTTCATTTTCCTATCTTCTTCAAGTTTTTATTTAACAGTACAAAAGGATCAAGCTTGTGTTTGCTTCTTTTATTTTTTAACTCTAATTTTTAAATTTCCTTTTTAAAGAAAATTTATTTTCCTTGTATATTTTACTAGCTCTGAGCTTTTCAGCGAAATTCGTAGGTCTGGAAGAGTTTGGGATAAAAAGAAGATGAGGAGAAGCCTTCTGTCTTCCTGAGAGGGCTTGTCCAGCAGGCGGGTTCTCCGTGACACACAGGGGCCTCTGTCCTGTGAAGTGTCCGATAGAGCTAAACCATTAGCCAAACCCACTCTCGTTGTTAGCGATTGGCAGCCCATCTCACTTAATTTTCTGATTTTTTTTTTATAATGACAAACTTTAACGTACACCCATTTGCTGTGCATTTTCATTTCTTTCCTTTCACTCTTGTAAAAAGCCCAGCACTTGAACTGTTATTCCTTTAAATGTTCTGTATTTGTATCTGTTTTTATTAGCCAATTAGTGGGAATTTATGCCAGTTGTTAAAATGAGCGTTGATGTACCTGTTATTTTTCAACAGCGAGGCACAGCCTTTGCCCCAAACTGTCATCTTAACGTTTGTCATTCCAGTTTGAGTTGCCGTGCTGAGCATTTTTTAAAAGAAGCTTTGTAATAAAACATTTTTTTAAAAGTGTCATTTTATTAAGAATAAAGCCGCTGATAATTGAGAGTTGGTGATGAGCCGAAGTCGGAGAGGCATGGGATCAGCCCGCGTCAGAAAGGACAGTGGAAGGTACAGGGTAAACCCTGTGCCCCCCCCCATGAAGACCCCGGAGTCAGGCAGAGCCATGTGGCAATGGGATTCTCCCTGCACACCACAGGCTCCATGAGGGCTCCAGCCCCGGTGGAGTGAGGCTCCAGCCAGGGCTCTTGTCTCCCCTCTTCAGAGTTCACTGCATTTCAACCTGAGCTCCCCAAATCTTGGGGCTCATCCATTCCCTCAGAGTCTAAGATTTCCCGGGGTTTAGTGATAGCCCATATTTTCCCCGTAAGCCCTTGTTACGTTAGTACATGTTGCTGTCTGCCTTAGCAGGAGCTCCATACATTAAAATGGTGCTCCTTTGTGACCTTTCACCTCTTGAGTTTGCTTGGGATCCCCTGGTGTCCCTGGCTAACAGAAATCCTGAAATTCTAGTTCTTTCCTTCTCAAGCGTGGGCACAGCTGGGAAACAGCTGGTTCCCATGCTTGCAATAACCCTCCACGCACCGCACTTGAAGACTGCCATTAAATCACCCCTCAGATTTCTCTTCCCCAGGCTAAGTAATCCCAATTCCTCTCGGCTTTCATCACCAGCCCTTTAATCATTTTCATTACTATCCTCTGGAACCTCTCCAGTTCCTCTTCATTTAATCCTAAACTTGAACCAGGAAAAAGCGTATTATGTTCGGGGGTCCCACTTGTTAGAAAGATTTCCTATTCCACCCTTCGTTCAGGGATCATCTCCTGAACACACATGGTTCAAGGCACTCCCTCTGACGCTGCCACCATGATATTTGAGGGGTGAGCTAGGAAATCAAACACGGTAGACTACTTTTCAGGGGGCGGTGGGGGGGGGAGGGGATGGAATCTCATCCATGTCCGAGCAAAAACATGTTCATCAAGGATACAGGTGGCGGGGGTGAGGCTAGTTCCCAGCCATTCTGTCAAACTGCTTCCTGGAGGCGTTTGTAGTAGGGAAGGAGAATCAGACATTCCCCTGCTCTAAGGGGGGAGGGAGAGAGAGAGAGAGAGAGAGAGAGAGAGAGAGAGAGAGAGAGAGAGAGAGAGAGAGAGAGAGAGAGAGAGAGAGGAGAGATCAAAAAGGGTGCCTATGGCTTGAGAGATGCTCCTGGCCACTTCTGTTTGATCATAAAGTGATGTGACCCCCTGGCCTGCAGCTCGCACAAAACTCGGCCCTTCTGGGAACTTGGCCTTGCCTGAGATCACAGTTGGCACACTCATCCTTCCAAAGGGGTGTTTTCCTCCTGTTTTGGTTGTCCTGGTTACTGGCAATACCTGTCCAGTTGGGAGGGACCTTCCAACTGTTTCATGCCCATGACTATCCTAACCAGTTATTTTCTCCCATAGTTGGTCTCTAAGGCTGCAACAATGTAGAAACTCCTGCTGAGCAACAGTAACAAGACCCTTGCATGGCTTCCTTTTAAGGGAGAAGGATCCAAACAGGAGAGGGAAATTTAAATTCCATAGCACATAGCAAAGCTGTAGCTTGCTTCCTACACTGTTTCTACCCCAGGAAGACCCTGTACAAAACAGACAAAACAGCTAATGTGAATCAATGAGTGATAGCTAAATCTGGGACCGCCAGGGCACCACTATACTAGATGCCAGGAGTTTTAAAAGCTGTCCAGTCAGCCTCTGCGTGTTAACGTGACTGCTTTCAAGTAGGAACTGCGAGTAGCTGAACTTCTTAGTTCTACTAGAAAAACAGTGGTCTAACTTCCTATAGTGTATGATAAAGATGTCATTGGTTTTCTTGGGTATCATTCTAGAAGCTGCTATTTTAAACTTATGTCCCTATCGAATGGAAAAACTCCATCTCCCTCAGAACAGAGGAAAAGAGGGTATAATGTACAATGATATGAAAATAATAATGCAAAAACCCAAGCGGGACAAGGTTGCTTACTTTTCTTTATTGTGACGGTGTATTTGCACCTACAGATCTCAGCACTTAGGGCAGAGCAACAGTGATTGACCCTCAGTAACTACAAAATAGTTCAGAATGGGCTTCCCCTTCAATTACAATTCATTTTGATCCATTGTGGGGAAAAAATACAATCTCTATAGTGTGCAGTCATGTTCAGGGAAGTGTTAATGGGGGCTGTTTTGAACTCAAGATTAGAAAGGCACTTAGACAGGGCGGGAGGGATGTTGGTATTATTCACACACACTGAAGTGTGTGTTCATGAAATCTGAACATCATCTGTCTCTCACTTAAAAATGTATTTTGCATGGGTGTGTGTGTACCACAAAACTTCGTGGAGGCCAGAGGACACCTTGTAAATGCTTTCACCTTCTGTCATGTGGGTCCTGGGTCCTAGCTTTGCCACTCTTACCCACTGAGCCATCTGGAGGGCCCTAGCCGATCTTACTATGTACCCCCAAGCTGGCCTCAGACTCATGATCCTTCTGCCTCCACCTCCCCAACGCTGAGGTTACACATGACACATTTTGCTGAATCTAGCTTGAGATGTCAATAGTTAAATTAACTTATCTCCATATTAGGCGTGAGAGAGAAATTGGCGGAAAGCATCCGGGCCAGATGGACATAAGAGCAGTAGGCATGCACAGCAGATGTGGCCACATGTCATCTTGAGTGCCTCTTTGCAGTCACAGCAGCATTAGAGGAGTGGGCATATTTTCAACCTTTGTCACAGAATCTGAAGTCAGTGGCATTGCTGACTTATACTTTATGCTATGTTGTTTTCTCCATGAGAAAAGTATGTAAGGCAACGGAAATAAAGCCCCACAAACTGGCCTAGTTATTATCACAGGCCTTTAAGGTTTCTTAAATTATTATTTTATGATTTTTTAAAAATATGAATGTAAGCACTTTGCCCACATGTATGTATGTATGTATGTATGTATGTGCCATGTATATACCTGGTGCCCTCAAAAGTCAGAGCAGGGGATGAGAACCCTGGAATTGGAGTTACAGATGGCTGTGAGCCACCATGTCAGTGTTAGGAGCCCACGCTATGTCCTCTGCCAGAGCAGCAAGGACTCTTGACCAGGCGCTGTCTCTCCAGCACCATAGGCTTTCCTTTGGACTTCTGTCTTAGCTAGGGTTGCTGTGAAGAGACACCATGACCATGGCAACTCTTACAAAGGAAAGCATTTAATTGAGGTGGCAGCTTGCGGTTTTAGAGGTTCAGTCCAGGATTGTCATCGTGGTGGGATGTGTCAGTATGCGGGCAGACATGGTTTTACATTTTGTAGACAACAGAAAGTGGACTGTCTCACTGGACATGGCTTGAGCATATATGAGACCTCAAAGCCTGCCTCCACAGTGACACGCTTCCTCCAAGAAGACCACACCTACTCCAACAAGGCCACACTTTCTAATAGCGCTACTCCCTTTGTGGGTCATTTTCTTTCTAACCACCACAGGTTCCCAGGTCTGGCTTGCCCAACTTGTATACCTCATAAGACAAGGTCTGTGTGGAGTTCACCTGGGGGGCTTAACAAGGTCTAGTGGTAACTTGTGGATGATATTATTTTTCTTGGCACCTCCTGGCATCTGGCCCACATAGGTTATCCCTGCTGACTTCCTTGGGTTCCAGTTAGCTGGGGCTGTCTGTCCCTCGGTTTCTAGTCAAGAAACCTTACTAGATCACTCTTACTAGATGGCCCTTGCAAAAGCCACTTTCCTTACTCTCCATGAAGCACTTGGCAACTGGGACTATGGTTAAAGACATTTTTAAAATTAAGCATGAATGTGTGTGGATTTGTATCCATGTATGTATGCAATGTCCAATGGAAGCTAGTAGATGGTGTCTCCTGGAGCTGGAGTTATGGGTAGTATGGGCCTGACAAAGCGCTTACATAAGTGCTGGGAACTAACATGGGTTCTCTGTAAGACTACATGCTCTTAAACAACTAAGCCATTTCTCCAGCCCCTCACTTTTAACCTCAGGCTTTCTCACAATGATTCTTTTAATTCATTCATTCATTCTCTCTCTCTCTCTCTCTCTCTCTCTCTCTCTCTCTCTCCCCCTCCCTCCCTTCCTCCCTCCCTCCTCCT